GAGAGGGGGAAAGCCCGGGGATCGCGAGCCAGTGGCGGTGAACGCACTCCTTGCAGTGGGCCAGGAAGTGGATGAACATGCGAATGGAGCTGTACGCCTGGATGGCCTCGCTGACGGCCTTCCGGAAGCCAGGCAGTCGGGCATGGGACGCGGGTGAGTTGGAGTGGCAGGGCAGGGCAGGCAAAAGAGCAAGACCCCTGAGCAGGGGGGGGGGGGGAGGGGGCGGGGGAGCAGCGGAAGACCCGGGCGCGGCACGTACAACCAGGCCCTGGCCCGTGCGGTTGGCAATGACCTCCATCTGGCCGCGGGTGAGGTTGGCGATGTTGTCGGCCTCGTCCGGCGTCAGGTACTTGAGGACGGCCAGCTGGCGCTTCTGCAGCTCGCCGGAGCTGGCGGCCGCCGCGGCCGCCGGGTTGACAAAGCTCGCGACCTTGGAGGCCATGCCGGACTGGGACTTCTCCATGAACTCGATGTACTCTGCGGCCGGCGCCATGCGAGTGTGTGGGCGGGTGAGCCGGGAGGGGAAAGAAAAGGAGGGCAAAGGACGGATGAGGGGAGAGGGCGATGCGAGCGGGTGGCGAGGGGGCACGCACTGGGCACGGTGAGCTCCTGGGCCTGCTGGCGGAGCATCTCCGGGGTGATGCTCTTGGACATGATCTGCCCCATGCCGGAGGTGAGCCCGCTGCCCATGTTCATCAGCGAGTCCAGCAGCGAGGACTTGGGCTTGGCAGAGGCGTCGGCGGCCTCGGGCGCGGGCTCGCTGGAGCCGGAGCCGCCGAACATGCCCTTGAGCCGGGCGCCGATGCCGGAGTAGGCGGCCGCCGGGGTGGTGGTCGGTGGCCCGGCCCGGCGGACCAGGGGCGAGGTAGAGGCGCGGAGGCCGACGGTGACAGAGCGGATCATGTTGTCAAGGGGGGGAGGAGGGGGGGGGGGGATGGGCGCTGGCAAGGGCGGGGGGGCGGGATGGGGAGGGAGGGGAGGCGAATCGGGTGGGAATGGGGTGCCCCTGTTGCCGGGGCGCAAGGGGGGGCAGGCGTGTGGCGGAAAAAAGGGGTTGTTTTGGCGCGGCCTCCGAAAGTGGGCCCGCAGGCCGGGTCGGATCGCCGGCCGGCCGCAGGCCGGGCGAGGCGTCGAGAAGGTCCACGTTCGATCGGGCGCGCCGTGCGTTGTCAGCATGCGGAATGCCATTGGCGCGTCAGCTGCCGGCCGGGCGTGATACGCGACATGGCGGCCGCCGCCCCCGCTCCCGGGCGTGTCGCTTGTTTTGATCAAGCCCGGTGTGTGTGCGCTCGGGCTGGGCTCTCGGGCGGGGGGGGGGGGGTCTCCTCCGGAGGGCGCCGGTGTCTCGGCCTCCGGCCAGCAAAAAGCGAGGGCCGGTGTGTGGAGGGCGCGAGGGAGCGAAAGCGGGGCGCCGTGGCCGGAAGGTCAACGACACCGGGGAAGCCATCGTACCTGTGCTCCTCTCTCTCTCTCTCTCTCTCTCTCTCCTTTTCTTGCTTTCTTCTCCTCGGCTGGCCCTTTGTCACCCGAGACGCTCGCACAGATGCACCTGGCAGACTCGCGCCCCGCCTCCCGCGGCGGCCCGCGGCCCCCGGGGGACGATGTCTTTTCCTGCTCCTCCAGCGAGGAGGACGATGCCGGGCTCCAGCCCCCGGAGGGGGACGCGCCGGAGGGGCTGGCCGCGGCGGCGCAGCTGCTGGCCACGGCGGCCGGGGGGTCGGCCGAGGCGGAGCTGATCCTGCGCGGGATGTTGGGCTTTTGCTTTGCGCCGGCGGCCGTGGAGGCGTCCGACGCGCCGGCCGGCCGCCGGGCGCCCAGCTTCTCGGTCGAGTCGCCGGTGTCGCACTCGTACCAGGCCCCTGCCGGGGCGGGGGCGTGGCCGCATGCCGGCGAAGCGGCCAGCCCCATGTCGGATGCGTCCTCCTCCTTGGAGAGCCTCTCGGCGCAGGGGTCCCTCGATGCGTATGCCCTGCTCCCCGGGGGGCAGGTGCTGCTGGGGGGCCATGGCAGCGGCGGCCCCGGGGCCGGGGATGGCGACCTCGATGGGAGGGGCCTGCTGGTGGATGTGCCGGTGCCGATCGTCGGGCCCGGCAGCCGGGAGCCGCACCAGAGTGCCTTTGCGCGGGTGTCCATCTCGGACCCCTCGACCGACGGGTTCACGCAGTACTCGGTCACGACACAGGTGGGCTCGTGCCTTTCGCCCTGCCTGCGGCCATGTCTCGCTGGATCGCCGCCTTCCTGCCTCCGTTCCTTCTGTCTCACCGTCCCTCGTGCCTGTGCATCCCTCGCGGTCCTCGGTTCGTGTGCCGGGCTCTCGGCCCGGTGGCGGCCTGTGGCGGCCTGTGCCGGCGCGGCTGGCGCCCGGTCGTGGCCGTGTGTTGCCCCTCGCCGGCCCCCTTCGCCGGAGGCAGACCAATGTCTGGAGTCCGGGCACGCGGACGGTCCGGCGGCGGTACAACGACTTTTCGCTGTTCTACGAGTTCCTACTGCGGGAATACGGCCGGCGGGTGCCGATCATCGGCATCCCGCCGGGGAGGGTCTTTCGTGCGTTCTGTCCCCCCCCCCCCCCTTTCGGGGCGTTCCCGTCGGGCGGCCGCGGTGGTGTGATCGCGATACTGACCATCGTGCGCCGGCGTCCGTGTGTACGGGCGGGACGATCAATAGAGCGCTTCGAGCCGGAGTTCATCAACAACCGCATGAAGAACCTGACGCTCTTTTGCAATTGGTACGCGCGCAGGCGCATGCTCTTGTGCCTTTCCCCTTTCGCCGGATGGCCAGCCGGTGTGTCTCTCTCTCTGTGTGTGTGTGTGTGTCTGTGTGCTGACACTGTTTCCCCCCTCCTCGGGTGCGCGTCTTTTCTGCCTGTCCGCGGCCTTGTGCGCGTGCCCCTGCGCGCAGGGTCGTCCAGCACCCTCTGCTGCGGAACTCCCCGGAGGTGCAGGACTTCTTCACGGCCGAGCAGTGGGCCGTGGTCATGCCGAGCCCATTGCTGTAGGGCCGAATAGACTGTCGGCCTGTGTGTCCACCTCAGCCTGCGTGTCTCGTGCTTGCGGCATGCGCGTTTCATGCTCGCACCGTGTGCGTCAGCGGGGGCGAGCCCGGGGGTATCGTGCGGGTATGCTCACCGCCCTGGGGGGGGAGGGGCAGGGCGGGGCGGCCACCAGCTTCGGCCACCGGGCCCAGGGATCTCTGGAGGCGGAAATAAAGGCCGCTGGGGGGTGGTCCCTCCGCATGGCCGGGGAAATTAGTCTAGTGGTATGATTCTCGCTTAGGGTGCGAGAGGTCCCGGGTTCGATTCCCGGATTTCCCCTTGCTTTTTGTGCCGCCGTCCCCCGGCAAAACCCTCATATACGACTGCCGCCCGGGCAGCAGCATGACCACCATCCCGATTAGTATAGTGGTGAGAATCCCCGCCTGTCACGCGGGAGGCCCGGGTTCAATTCCCGGATCGGGAGCGTTCTTTTTGTTTGCCGACGTGTCTCGCGCGGGGCCCCCTTGGCCGTGGCATTCGGCCCCGGTGTGTGTGTGTGTGTGTGTGTGTGCCCCTGTTTTTATTTGCGATCCCGCCCCGCCCCCCGGCGAGAGGAGAGTCCCCTGTCCCGCTACGCCGGACCCCGCCGGCCCCGGCCCCGCGGCCATGGTCTCGTCCTCTCTCCTGCGGGGGCGCATTTTTTCCGCGCGAGCGCGCGTGCCTCAGGGCGGCCGCCCGATTCCGGGGGCGCCCCGAGAGCTTCCCACGCACCAGGGCCCCGGCGGGCTGGACCCCCGCCGCCAGGGGGAGCGGGGCTGGCGCGTCGGGGGAGGGGGCGCGCGTGCGCACGGCCAGCCGGGGGGCGCTTGCGCGCTCGGCGCATGCCAGTCAATCGGCTTTCCTGCGTGCACCAGCTCTCGCGCGCGCGTGGGGCGGGACTGCCTGCCGCGGCGCATTCCGCCCTCGGGGCCGGGGCCCCGCCGCCTGGGTGGTCAGGGGCGCCGCCGGCCATTCTCCCCTTGCGCCGGGCTTCGGCGCGGCCGGCCCCGCCCCCCCCCCCCCCCCCGGGCGCGGGGGCGTGCGCGCTTGCCAAGGGCCCCGCGCGCGCGCGCGCGGTCCCTCGTAAACAGGCACACACATTCCACCGTGGGGGGTCTAGATCGCGCGGGCCCCGGGCACAGGTGCGCGCGTGCATGCCCCTCTGGAAGGGGCCCCGGAATGGGTGCGCCCCATCAGCGGCCGAAGGGGGAGGGGTGTTCTGCGCTGCTGCGCGTCGACCAGCCTGCGGCCCCGCGCCCCACGGCGCGCCGGCAACGCGGTCACCGGCACGGGAAGGGGCCCTTTTTTCCGAAGCCAGGACGCGTGCCCGCGCACGCCCGCGCGACCGGGGCCACCCCCGAGGCGCAGCCGCGGGCCCGGGGGACACCCTTCCCCTTTTGGCCGATCTTCTCTCCGGCGGCCGGGCGATCGACGGCAGCCTGGTGTATGGGCGCGAGGCCTCGGGCGCCATTGCCCGGTGTCGCCCCCCGTCCCTCCCCGCCCAGTCACTGGGTGCGCATGCGCGGCGATGGCGGCCCCATGGCGGCCCGACAACCAGGCACGGTGGCCTGGTTGGTGGTTGCCGGCGGGCAAGATGCCGGCCTGCGGTCCGGCGCGCGCGCGCGCGCGGCGAGGGCGACAGCCCGCACACATGCATCCATATCCGCCCGGCGGCGGTGACGGCAGCGGCAGGCGGGGCCGAGGGCGCACCGCGTCCGCAGCCGGCCAGGGTGCCAAGGCACGGGAGGCCCGGCGCCGGGGCCCGCGGGCGGCCGGCCGCATCGCGCGTCGGGAGACCTGCTGTCCGGCGCCGGGCTGCCCCCTTGCTGGACCCGGGGCGCGGCGCCTCGCGTGCCGGGACACGCACGCACGCCCGCCCGCCCGCCCGCGGCACCACCCATATAAATAGATCCCCCCTGGCGGCCCGGACCACAGGGTCCCATGGACAACTCCCATTTCGCCAGTCTCCCTTCCCCCAGCGGACTGTCCTCTCTCTCTCTCTCTCTCTCCCCCCCCCCCCACCTCCACCATGGTCGATCTTACCAACCCCCAGCGCGTGCTCGTGGCCACCCTCACCGCCGCCCTCGGCGTGAGCCCCGCCATGTTCAACCAGCAGGAGGCCGGCCTGGCCCAGGCCAACGTCTCGGCGGCCGCCACCTCGGACTTCGACTTCTCCGTCTGCGCCAGCGGCACGTACATCGCCGACTCGCAGAGGCTGCTGGCCTCCGGGCAGGGCTGCACCGCCCAGGCCTTCGAGACCCACCACAAGGCGGTGGTCTGCGCCACCATGGCCCACGAGCTGACCCGCAAGACCATGCACCGCGACGACGCGTACCCCCTGTGCTCGGAGCACCTGGCCCTCTATGCGTCGATGTGCCAGAATGCCGGGCTCGCGGCGGCCATCGACCTGAGCAAGTTCACCTGCCCGTCGAACTTCCCCGTCAACAAGGGGTCCTCCTTCCCGTCGGACGGCTGCCGTGACGACCAGCTGGAGAAGGTCGCCGAGGACATGGAGAAGGTGTGCGCCGGGTACCTGGACTTCTCCGATGACGACAGCGACGAGACCGGCGGCGCGCCCGACATCGGCAAGCTGTGCAAGTTCCCGAAGAAGTGCGCGGACTTCTTCGGCAAGCACATGCACTGCGCCGTCGAGCGCGGCGTCATCGGCAACGATGTGTCCATGTTCTGCGGCGAGAACTCCCTCATGGACTTCATCGACCTGCTGTGCCCCAAGAACTCCGGCCTGCACTACCTCATGAAGAAGATCACCCCCTTCTGCGTGGACCCCATCGAGAAGCACGACATCAAGATGGTGACCTTCGACCCGGAGTACCGCTTCAACAGCGCCACCGCCCTGACCGCCGCCGTGCCGGCCGCCGCCGCCGCCGTCGCCATGGTCGCCGCCTACCTGCTGTGAGTGGCGCCCGGCCGTGCCGCGCGTCCGGCGGCCCGGCGCGCGCCGCCGCATGCCCCATGCCAGCGAGGGCCCTCGGGGCTAGGGGGCCCCCCGGCGAGGGGGGTCGTGTCTCCCCTCCGCGTGTCTCCCTCTCCCCTCGGGCCTCTTCCCCCTGGCATGCTCTCCTCCCTCGTTCTTCTCTCCCCCCCCCCCCAATACACAGTTTCCGTTGGGTATGCAAGGGTCGTCCCCCGCGCCGACTTTCTTCTTTCTTCTTCTCATGCTGTCCGGCCCGGGGCCCGGCCAAGGGGCGAGGGGTGCGGGGCGGTGCGGGCGGTGGGCGCGCGAATGCGCGGGGCCGGGGGGCACCCACCGCCACAGCCGGGGAGGGGGGGACATGCCTTTCCCGCGCGGGCCCGGGCCGCCCCATGCATTCCTCATCGTGCGCGGGGCGAGGTGAGACGCGGACCGGGCGCCGGCTGGTTCCCCGGTCCCCTGCGCGACACCGGCGAGCGTCGTGCCTGCTGCCGAAAGAGAGGGCAGGCCAATGGGAGGGGGTCAAGAATGACCCGAGAGAGCCCCCAAGGGGGAAAGTTCGGGCGAGATCCGGGACCAGGGCAAGAGGCCCCGGCAATCGGTTCGGGGGGCGGCACAATGAATACTAATATCGAGCAGCCAACTTTGCCCACGCCCGTGCGCGAACCGACGCGTACCCTCGCGCAGGCGCACTCGCACACGCACACACCGGGGGGGGGGGGGGGGGGGGTGGCGCCGGCGGACGGCGGGACGACCCGGCTCACGGCCCCGGCCCCCCTGCGCGCCTGTCGGGGCCGGCGCGCACACGCCCATCTAGCCCCCCGCCCCCCACTGGCACGGGCGAAGCCCTCTGCCCGCCGGATGTGTAGCGCATGCCGCCGAGAGCCGCCCCCCCCCCCGGGGGAAAAGAAAAAAAAGAGCGAAACTCCGAGACAAATCCCGAAAATGCCCCTCAGCACACCATGGGGAGTGGCCGCGGCGCCCCCCGCGCGCGCGCGCGCGCGACCAGGCATGTCTGGGCGCCCAGGGAAACTCCCACAGCCGGGCAGAACGACTGCCCGATTAGCCGCGACACGTGACACGCATCACACCCCCGGCAGAATCACCCGCCCCGTTGGGTCGGCCCCAGGTGCCAGCCTTCTTCAGGGCGCGGAGTGCGCGCCCCTCGCACGGAGCCCGGCATCTTGCTTTAGATCTCCCTCCTCCGCTCCTCCGCCCCCTCTTTTCCGTATCTCGCGCTCAGCACTTCGCCCTCTGCCCCTCCATCCACCCGGCGCGCGGTCCCGCACGCAGCCGCTACCTCTCTCTCTCTCTCTCTCCCCCCCTCCCCGCCGGTGGCCGCGCCATCCCGTCCAGCGCGCCGCACGTCCTTCCTCCTGGCACCGTGCGGTTGCGGGCGGCCCGATGTTGCGTCTGGTGTGTCGGCAACTTGGGCCACTTGCCGGGGCCCTCGGTCCCCGGGCCAAGGTGAGCATGGCCTCGGCCCCTCGGGCCAGCGCCCAGGCCAGCGGGCTGGCCCGGCCCGATGTCGAAGGCCCGGCCGGCCGGGCGCCCCGAAAGCCGGCGAGTGCCCCGGGCCGGGCCGCGGCCCCACCGGCCGCGAGTGCGCGCCCGGCCTTCCCCAAGCACGAGGCCGATCCGTATGACCTGGGCCCGGTGAGCAACACGGCCGGGGCCCGGCTCTTGCGGGACATCGAGGCCGGCCGGGCGCCCCTGCCATCGGGCTTCCAGTCGGTCGGGTGCTTGCGCTTCTTCCTGCAATTGGTGGGCCTCCACGCGCCGGCGGTGTCACTGAACACCAAGGCCCGGCTGATGGGGCTGGATTGCGCCACGACCAGCGCCCTGATCGGGCGCTTTGTCAAGGACGGCCTTGGCCTGCCGCCGCCGCGGGGCTCGCAGGCCGGGGCGCTGAGCTGCCCGCACCTGGCCGACAACTTTCTGCTGCTGGTCCACCGGGACCCGCCGCCGGGGAAGATCCTGCTGGCCCGGCTGCTGGGGGTGTCGCGGCCGACCGTGGTGCAGCTCATCCAGCAGCACGCGCCCGGGGTGGACCTGACCCCGCGGCCGTGCTTGCAGCGGCTGCGCGAGCTGTGCGCCATCGCGCCGGCCGTGCCGCTGCACCAGATCTCCACGCTGCTGTCGGTGTCGCCGCTGCTGCTCAAGCAAACGATGGCCAAGTACCTCCAGGGGAGGCCCCACCCCGGGGATGGGGATGGGCTGGACTCCGACGCCGAGGCCGAGGCCGATCGCCTTGCCGGTGGCGGTGGCGCCGGCGGCCTCGCCGGGGGTGGCTTTGGGCTCGCCGGGCCCGGTGGCCCCGGTGGCCCGGGCGACCCGGTGCACCTGGCCCCGCCGGCCGGGCGCCGCGGCCACCGGGGCATCCCCCAGTCCGAGGCGATCCCCTGGCCGGATCGGCTGGACCTGCTGGAGCGGGCCCTGCGGACGGCCGAGCTCCAGGCCGACTCGGAGGCCGAGGCCCGGCTGCGGGAAACCGCCCGCCGGGTGGCCATCGCCTATTTGACGGTCTTCCGCCAGGACTCGCGGCTGTGCGACCAGCGTTTCAGGGCCGTGCGCCAGGCCCTGCCGGCCGAGCAGGAGGCCTCCTTGCGGGAGTTGCTCCGGAAGGATGCCACCTTGCCGTTCATCGCCCAGGCCATGGGGGTCCCCTACAAGTCGCTGTGGAATACGGTGGTCCGGTACTTCCCGAAGCCCCTGGCCGAGGAGGCCCCCCCCCGGCCGGGGAGCGGGGCCTTCCTGCTGACCGACATCACCTCCATGCGGCAGTATGTGGCCCGGTATTTGCCGGAGGACTCGCCGGTCCGGCGGCAGTCCCACCAGCCGGGCTCCAAGCCGGCCAACCTGCTGACCATGGCCCAAAGCAGCCGGGCGATAGACTGGCGCCGGTCGGACCTGGTCCGGGTGTTCGACCCGGCGCAGCACCCGCCCGAGCAGCCGGACCTCCGGCATCTGGATGCGGACTTCGACCCGGCCTTCGAGGGGCGCCTCCGGCGGCTGCTGGCCCTGCGGCCGCCGCTCAGCCCGATCGAGGCCAGCCAGCACCTGGGCGTGTCGGTGGGCCTGATCCGGCGCACCATCGACCGGTCGCTGCGCGATGTGTTCCTCTCGCGGCCGATGATCACCCTGCCCACGGAGGGCATCATCCGCCTGCGGCGCCTGGCGCGGCAGCTGGCCGGGCCGGCGGCCGGCAGCCCGGACCGCGGCATCCGGCGCATGCGGTACACCGTGCCCGACATCGCCAGGCAATTGGGCCTGACGCCGGACCAGACCTTCTCCCTGCTCCATCGCTACTGCCCGGAGTACTTCTTCCTGGCCCTCGGGCCGGAGGCCGGGGCCGGCCCCGGGGGGATGTATGTGCCGGATGGCCGGCTGCCGGAGCTGCTGGACGCCATCCGGGGCCGGTATCCGCCGCCGCTGGTGCACCACCTGGCCGCGGATCTGGGCTGCACCATCCCGCAGGTGATCAACTCGCTGCGGGTCCATGCGCCGGACTTCTCCACCCCGATGTATGCCCGGAGCCTGGCCTTCCGGCTGCACGAGCTGCATGAGCAGCTGCGCGCCAAGCCCGACATCTCCCTGTCGCAGCTGTACCGCGAGGCCAACATGCCGTCGCCTCTCCTCCGCATGACCCTGAATCACTTTGAGCCGCTGCTGGCCAAGGATTCGCCCTACCTCAGACTAACTGCCCAGCCCCGGTGAGAATAGACCCCCCTCCTCCTCCCTCACCTGTGGCTGTTGCTTCGGCCCGTGGCTGCCTTTCTGGTGTTGCACCCGGGGGCCGTGGGGTTCTTTTGTCCCTCCGACGTGGGGTCCGGCGCCTTGCCCTTGTCGCGCATCGATGGGCCAGCCGCGCGGCCGTGTGCCGCCGGCATTCGGGCCGACATGTGCCTCGGGGGGCCCCCGGCGGGGGTGGGCCGATCGCCGGATCGCACTGTCCGCCATGGCCATGCGCTGGGCGGGTGCCGGCATGCCGGGGTGTGTCTTTCGGTGCTCGATCCGCCCTGGCCCGGGAGTCTGTGTGTGTGTGTATGTGTGTGTGTATGTATGTGTGTATGTATGTGTGTATGTATGTGTGTATTTATGTGTTCGTATGTATATGTTCGTATGTATGTGTTCGTATGTATGTGTTCGTATGTATGTGTACGTATGTATGTGTACGTATGTATGTGTGTATGTGCGCTGCCATGCCCCGGTGCGGGACGAGCACGCCTGCCCGGCTGCATGTCCTCCCCAGCTGGACCGGCTCCGTGGCCGTGTTTGTGTGGTTATGGCGGTGGGTGCCGCCATGGCCCAGTATGACACGCGGAGGCCGAGGGGGAGCTGGTGCGGCCGCAGAGGTCCGTTTCCCCTCGCCCGGGAGACGCGCGCGTGCCCGTGCTCTCGGGCCGCACTCCGCGCGCCGAAGTCCCCCCCCCCCCCCCTCCCCCCTCCTGCGGCCCGGGGGTGAAACGCACGTCCCGGCGCGCGGTGCTGGCCCGGACGGAGCCCGGACCCGGAGGCACGCGCCCCCCGGCGATCCGCCGGGCGGCCCGTTCCCACAGGCGCATGCCAACGATCGGGCGCCGTCTTGCATGAGCCCAGGGTCCGGCCGCCCGCCCGGGGCTGGATTGTGGCCCCCGCTCGGCGGCCGTGCCGCTGCCGGGCGAGGGAAGGACGCAGGGACAAAGCCCCGGTCCGCCCAGGGGGCCGGCGGGGGCGAAGTGCGGGCCGGTGCAGGGCCGCGACCCGGCGGGGCGATCCATTTTTGTGGGTCCCCTGCGGGCGGCCCGGCTGGTGGGGATTTTTATGCCGCACCACCGGGCCAGGGCAGGCCATCCGGGCACTGTGGCTCAGTGCCCTGCCCCTCCCCTCCATCCCGATTGTTCCGCGCGCCGGGGCCCTCGCCGTCCCCCTCCTTGCCCCTCTCCCCGCCCCTCTGCCCCTCTGCCCGGCGCTCGCCCCCATGGAATTCACCAGCCCCTCGCCCCTGCCGGCGGCCGAGAGTGTCTGGACGCCGGCGCAACCGCCGCACGGCATGCCCGGCCACCCGCCCGTCCAGGGGGACTACCCGCTGACGCAGGTGGCCCACTCGCCTGTGGCCGCGGCACATCCGCCGCCGCCGCCGCCGCCGCCGCCGCCGCCGCCGCCGCCGCCGCCGCCGCCGCCACCATTCGCGGGCCACATGTCGGCCCCGCCGGCCTACAAGGCCTATCCCTCGCCGGGCGCGTCGTACGCTGCGGCGGGCCCCTCGCCCGGTCCAAGGCCCCCCCCGGGCGCCGGCCTCGCCACCAGGGTCGAGGTGAGCTCGGCCTACGCCATGGTCTGGGACCCGAGCGCCATCCCTTACACCAACTACATGGACTTCCTGCCCTACTACGAGGCGGTGCGTCGCCGTCTCCACCGGCAGGCCGTGCGGTGGGCCTGTCTTGCCCTGGCCGGGGCCTCGTGGCCCAGCTGACTCGCCCTCGCCTCCCCCCGGGCCGCCCCCCCCCCCCCCCCCCCTGGCGGAAGCCCATACCCCTGCCCAATGCGCTCGCCAGCAGGAGCAAAAGATCGAACCTCATCACCGTGCGCCAGCCACCCCCCCCTGGCATCCCCGCCGAGTCGCCCTTCCAAGCCGGCTAGACACCGACACTGACCCGGCTGGCATGCGCCGCGCCGCGCCGCGCAGTTCCTCATCCTGGTGATCATCGGGGCGATCCTCATCGCCGTGGGCATTGGTGCGTTGCCTCGGGGCCGCCGGCAGCAGCGCGGCCGGCGGGCGGCCCGGTCGCCCCCGCGCCCTACTCCCCCCGCCCCCTCCCCCTCGCTCACACCCACGCACCCACGCACGCGCTCCGGAGCAGCCATGTCGCCCCAGTCGTATGCCATGGTCGGCGGCGGCGGCACGCTCCTCTTCAATGGCGTGCTCATCTTCGGCGTGCGTCCGCCCGGTCGGGCTGCCCTCTTGCCAAACTCGCGCCCGCGTGCCGGGCCGGCTGTCGACTGACCCGCGCTCTGGTCCACCGGGGCACACCCACCGGCCCAGATCATGGCCTTCATGCGCATGCGGATCCGACGCCTGTACAACGCGCGCATGGCCTTCGAGGCCCACGCGGCCGAGTGCGTCCGCTCCGGCCAAGCCCCGCCCCTGCCGCCGGTGGCCCTGTGCAAGTTCTGCCACATCAACCGCCAGTCGCGCTACGTGTACACCGTGGTCTGCAAGCGCCCGGCGGACATGCGGATCCCGCCGGTGCTGGCCTGCGTCGACCACGTGCGGCCGGAGTACCACCAAATGATCCTGACCATGGCGCGCCAGGTGAATGGCGGCCTGTAGGCGCCGGCGCGCCGGGGCTGCGGCGCGCGGGCTCCGGCTCACGCAGCAGGCATCCCCACCCACACCGGTGCGGTGGCGGGGGGGGGGTGAACGCGGCCCCCTTTGTGGGAGGTGCATTCTCCCTGCTTGTGGGGTATGTCCGGCAGGCGATGCGTTGGCATGTTGCTGTTCCGGGACGCGCCATTCTGCCGCTCTCCAGATTGACCGGCGGAGGTATGGCCTTTTGCTGTTGGAGACATGCGGCCGGGCCGCATGCCTGCGCCGGGGGCATTCCAGTCGCTCGGCGCCCCGGGCGTTCAATTAATATACCACCATTAACTGGACCCGACCCTGGACAGCGCCCAGCGCGGGGCGAAAGTTGCCGGGGGCCGCCCTCCCTCCATGGGTGGTGGGTCTCTTTTGGGGGCGCTTGTGCGAGAGCCCGTGCGCAAGGTGCGCCCTCGGTCCCTTCCCCGGGGAAGGGGGCGCGGCGGCAGCGCGGCTCCCCTGGGCGGCAGGCCACGACACTTCGACCGCGCCGGGGGCGAAGCCGCGGCCGGAGGCGCTTGCCATGGTGACGGTGGCGTGTGCTGGAAGAGGTGCGCCGGCGTGCGGCCTGGCCGGTGGGGCCCTCGGGCCTGCGCAGGCGCCGGCACCCCGGCTACAGGGCCTGGTTGTCTTTTTATTTTTCTTTGGCGGACGCCCTGTCGCCTGCTCCCGTGCCGCTCCCGGCGAGCCGTGGTGCCTGCTGAGGCTCCATCCTGTGCCCGCCCCGCGCCGAGGCGCCCCCTTCCGCTGTGCCGCGCGGGAAAAGACCGCCGACAGCCGGGCACCCTTTGCCCGTGTGCGGGGTGGATCCCGGGGCATCCGGTGTGTGGGGCAGATATGCCAACCAGCGCCACCGCTCGAACATTGGCTGGCGCTGCTTTGCTGGGCCGTTGGGCCGCCGGTTCCCAGCGCCGGAGGCCCAGGGTGGCCCGGGGTCTGAGCAGGCCGAAGGGGTCTTGTCGGGGGAGGGGCCGACGGGGCCCTTGGCGAGGCCGAGCGAATGGCAGCTGGCCAGCCGGGCCGGGGGGGGGGGTGGGGATGTGTGCGAATCCCCACATCGGGCGAGGGGTGCCGGCAGGCGCCGGGCGGGCGCGCGAGAGTGTTACCCGGGGATCCGGTGTTGGTACCGCTGGCGGCGGTTGCCACATCCCCGGGTCAGGGTCCCGGAGTCCCGGAGCACCGGGGTCTCGGGCCGCCGCTTGCCCGGGCGCGTGGGGCACTCAAAGGCCTCCCCTGCCGCCCGGGGAAAGCACGAGCGAGCACGGGCCCGGTCGGCCGCGCGTCTCCCCCGGGGGAAATACCGCGTGGGCCGCCGAGTGGACGGAGGCGTGGCTGGGGGCCTCGCCCGGATGCAGGGCGTCGGACTCCCTTCGGGGCCGGGTGTGCCGCGCGGCATCGCCAGAGCTCCGTCCAGACTGGCGGGGGGGGGGGGGGGCGGGCGGAGAGCCTCGCGCGGCGTGGTCCCGCTGCAGCGGCCGGGGCCGGCACGAGCGCGATGCGCCACCCCCTTGTCGGCGCAGCGTCGGGGGACGCGCGCGCGCATTGAAGCCCCCACGGGTGTTCCCGGCTACCGAGGGGCGGTCAGTGCGCTGTCCCTGCCCTGCTCCGGGGCCCGGTGTCGAGGCGCCGGCGCGCCGGCGACGGAGGTGGCCATCGGGAAGGATGCTCCCGCCCGGTGCCGGGACGCTGCCAGCCGGGCGGGGGGCCCGGGTCGCTTGGTCCCGGGGGCCTCCCCCAGTGGTGTTGGCGGGGGGGGGGGGGGGGGGGGGGGGGCAATAGTCGACCCGGCTCCCGGGCGTGTATGGGCGCCGCCGCCCGGCCGGGGTGGGGACGGGCGCGGGGCACGCAAAATCCGGGTGGGCCAAAAGCGCCACGAGGGGCGTTTCCCCTCGAAGATGGCCGCGTAGCTCAATTGGATAGAGCACCTGACTACGGATCAGGAGGTTGTGTGTTCGAGCCGCATCGTGGTCACCATTCTTTTTTGCCCGCCCTCCTCAGGAGGGAGGCGCGCGCGCCGCGGCGTCCGTGCGCGTGTGTCCCGGGGCGAGGCGCGGAGGGAGAGGGGAGAGGGGCGCCGCGTCCCCGCCCCCTCAGGGGGGGGGGGGGTTACCCGCTGCGCCCTCCGGGCTTGTTTTCCTCCCCCGGGGGAGGGCGGGCTGGGCCGCCCTGCGTCCGGGGCGCGGTGGACACAAAGAGGCGCTCGGACGGGCGCGGCGCAAAAAGGAAGATAGCCCACTGTGGGGCTCGAACCCACGACCCTGGGATTAAGAGTCCCATGCTCTACCAACTGAGCTAAACAGGCATGTGTGTAGCCGGTACCGGGGGACACATGAAGCTGCCGGTGCCGGTGCCGGCGGTGGATCTGCCCGCGCTCCTCTGTTCCAGGCGGCTTCAAGGGCACCAGCAGGACCACATGCACCAGGAGCCGGCAGCCAGGATGCCCCCGAGGTCCGGGGACCAGGACGCGAGCCCGGCGGTGAATGTCCCCACCCTTCCCCCCAGCCCGAGCCCATCGGCACCAGCACGCGCACGCACACGCCGGGTGCCAGACGATGCCCACACGGGAGGAGGCATGCCTCCGGCGGTGCATTTCGCCGCCCCTCCGAGGCCCGGCGCCGCCATCGACACCAATGCGCGCACGCACATGGACACGCAAATGGACACGCACATGGACACGCACATGGACACGCACATGCATGCGCACATGCAAACGCACACGCACATGAGCACATGCAAACGCACACGCACATGCAAACGCACACGCACATGCAAACGCAAACGCACATGCATGGGCACACGCACATGCAAGGGCACACGCACACATCCACACATCCACACATCCACACACATCCACACGCACACACATCCACACGCACACACATCCACACACATCCACACACATCCACACATCCACACGAACAGGAGAAAACAGGCATGGGAGGTCTACACAGCAGGAGGTCAGGCAGGCACAGGGGCCATCTCCACGGCGTCCTGCTTGGCGGGCTCCGGCGAGGAGGCCTTCCGCCGGAGGAGCAGGATGGCCGCCACCACGGCCGCCACCAGGACCACCAGCAGCGGGAGCCCCACGCCAAGGCCGATGGCCAGGGCGGTGCGCCGGCCGGCCCCCGGGGCCGGGGCCAGGCAGCTGTCACCCCCGGGCCCGGCGCATGTGGCGCACTTCCGGTGGCAAGGGGCACACAGGCTCGCGGCCGGGTCCGGGAACCAGCCATCCGGGCAGGCGGCCAGGCAGGCGCCGGCCGCGCGCGGGTCCGGCAGCATGCCATACATGCAGGCGGTGCATTGGTCCGGCGCGGGGCCGGTGCACGCGGCGCAGCCGCCGGCGCAGGCCGCGCACACGCCGGGCGTCAGGTAGTCGGCGCTGCCGGCCGGGCACCGGCCGCCGGCCAGGCACCGGCCGCCGGCCGACAGGACCGCCCCCGCCGGGCAGGTGGCACACTGGCCGGGCCCGGGCCCGGTGCAGGTGGCGCACTGCCGGTCGCAAGCATGGCACCCCCCGGCACTGGGGAAGGTCCCCTCCGGGCAGGCGGCCAGGCAGGCCCCCTGATGCATGAAGAAGCCGGCGTGGCACATGTCGCACCCGGTGGACCGGGCACAGGTCCAGCAGTTGGCCGGGCAGGCCTTGCACCGGCCCCGGTCGAGGTTGTCCACGAAGTACCCCACCTCCGGGCAGGTCCGCGAGCAGTAGCCCCCGGGCAGCGGGAGGAAGCCATCGCGGGAGGAGCAGGTCAGGCAGTACTCCGGCCGGCCGGGATGGCAGGAGCTGCAGAAAACCCCGCACGGGTAGCACGACCGGGCCAGCATGTCGGCGTACGTCAGCGGCGGGCACTGGCCCTGGCGGATGCACTGCCCGTCGGCCGTCATCAGGTAGCCGACGATGCACCGGGCGCACACATAGGGCCCGGTCGACTGGCAGGAGAGGCAGCCGCTGGCCGAGCAGGGGCAGGCCGCCAGGGCGGCCGGCTGCGAGCCGGCATCCGGGCAGACCGACCGGCAGGCGGGGTCCTGGCCCGAGGCCAGCTCGGCCAGCGGGTCCACGCAGGCGGTGCACTGGCTGGCCAGGGGCCCGGTGCACTGGGCACAGGTGCTGTGGCAGGGCCGGCACACGGCCGACGCCGGCAGCCCGGGCTGGGCCGGCGGCGGCGCGGCCACCGCATACATGCCATCGGGGCAGGCCGGCAGGCACTTCTGCTCGTGGAGGACCGTGCCCTGCTGGCAGGCCAGGCAGGTGGGGAACTCGGCCGTGTAGCAGGCCAGGCAGCCGGGGCCGCAGGGGACACACTCGCGCGGGCTGCTGCCCAGGGTGAAGCCCGCCGGGCAGGCCGAGCAGTGGGCCCCGGCGGCCGGGGAGACGCACCGCCGGCAGGCGGCATTGCCGCACGGCTGACACTGGCCGGTGACCAGGTCCGGCCCGGTGCCATCCGGGCAGTCGGACCAGCAGCGGCCGGTGGCCGGCTCCAGCAGGAAGCCCGCCGCGCAGCCCCGGCAAGCCAGCGCCCCGGGCCCGGAGCAGGCCCCGCAGGAGACATCGCACGCGTGGCACTGGTGGTCCTCGGCCGAGAGGTAGAACCCCGGCGCGCAGGCGGTGCACCGGTCGGCCGTGGTGCAGGCATCGCACCCGGGCCCGCAGGCCACGCAGGCCCCCCCCGCGGACGTGGGGTTCATGCCGGCCGGGCAGGCGCTCACGCAGGCCGACGGGCCGGGGGCCAGCACCAGCAGCCGGCCCGGCGGGCAGGTCCCGCAGGCGCGCGCCGGCCCGGCCGAGCAGGTGGCGCACGAGGCGTCGCACGGGGCACACTCCCGGGGCAGGACCTCGGCCAGGGTGGCCTCGTCGAAGACCGGGCGCGTGCCCGCCGGGCAGGCGCACTGGCCGGCGGCGGCCACCAGCCCGGCCGGGCAGGCACACCGGCCGTCCGGGCCCGGGTCGGCGTGCGCCACGCAGGCGCACCGGCCGGCCGCCGTGTCGAAGTGGACCGCCTCCCCGCCGGGGCACACGCACGTCAAGCTGGCCGCGTCGAGGTGGGTGCCGGCCGGGCACCGGGGAGCCTCGGCGTCCGGGTGGGCAAACACCCGGATGCGCGGGCCGCGCGCCGGCGACCCGGCCCCGTCCGGCCCATCCAGCAGCACGACATCCAGCCGGCCATCGTGGTTGACGTCCAGCAGGTGCATGCTCGGCCGGGCGGCCGGCGACCCGGCGGCCGGCCGGCCGGCCGGCGGGAACCCCGGCAGGACAACCACCCGGCGGAAGGCCACGCCCTCGACCCCGGGCTGGGCCAGGTAGAAGACCACGCGGCCGGTGGCCCGGTCCAGCAGCACCAGGTCCTCCTGGCCGTCGCGGTTGGTGTCCATGGCCACCAGCTCGGCCGTCGGGCTGACGGCATGGTGCTCGATGACCGCCAGCGGGCAGCCGGAGTCCCGGCGCCCGGAGCGGTTGCCCGGCAGGAAGGGCTCGGCCAGCAGCCCGGCCGGGGTCTTGTACGGCTCCTCGCCGGTGGCCCGGTCCAGGTCCCACAGCGACTGGTCCCACAGGCAGTCGTAGGGCTGGGCCACGATGCCGGCCGGCAGGGCATCCGCCCGGACCAGGATCCCCTGGGCCGGGGCCCCCTCCGCGCGCTGGTAATACAGCGCCTGGTGCAGGGGAACATCATCGCCCGGCGGCTGGACATACAGGAAGTCCGGGCTCTGGGCGGCCATGTTGATGAACAGGGCCCCGGGCCGGTCGGCCGGCCGGCCGGCCAGGCGCGGATACAGCTCGGCCACGGCCGGCAGGGCCAGGCCGACGGCCTCCCCCGGCCGGTGCCCCAGCCGGGGGATGCTCAGGCGCGGGCTGACGCTCGGCAGGCTGAGCAGCACCCCGGCCAGGCCCCACTGGAGGTCCCAGTAGCCGATCATGGCCCCGGGCATGGCCAGCAGATGCTCGCCGGTGGTGGTCCGCACGAGGGAGGCCAGCTGCGGGAAGGTTTGCCCGTGGGCTGGGGCCGGGGCCAGGGCCAGCTCGCCCGCCGGGAAGGGCAGCGGCACGTCCACCATCCACCGGAGGGGGTCGCGCAGGGCCGGGCCCGGCCCGGCCATGCTGCTGCCGAACAGCAGCATGGTCAGGGTGCTGGTCACCGGCAGCGGCCGGGTCAGGGCGCTCGGGGCCACCATATACCCGAAGGCGTGGCCGGGCAGGGTCCCGGTGGCCGGGCGGAAGTGCGCCAGCGCGGTGGCCGCCCCGGCCATGGTGGCCAGGCTGACGGCCGGCCGCCGGGCCGGGTGCCCGGCCGGCCCACCGCCCGGCGGCCGGTCCGCCGCCCGCAGCAGCGCCCCCAGATGGACCGGGTCCCTCGGGGCCAGGAGCTGGCCGATGGCCGACGCCGGGCCGGCGGCCGACATGGCGCCGGCCGGGCCCCCGGCTGTCGTCGTGGGCGCCGCCGCCCCCGCCGCCGTCCGGTCCCCGACAATGAACTCGTCCAGCATGCCGGGCACGCTCAGGTGCTGGACCTCGGCCGACTGGCCCACCGGCACCAGGGTCAGGGTGTCGGGATCCGAGGGGAAGTACCCGACCAGGCTGGGCTCGACCGTGGCCACCGGCCACCGGTGGTCCGGGTTGTCGCCGCCGCCGGCCGGGGCGGGGGCCATGCGCGCGTGCGTGAAGCCCACCGGCTGGAAGTCCCCCCACGAGGGGTCGGCCGTGGTGACCATCCACGGGACGAAGGCCGGGGCCGGGGCCGAGCACCGCCCCTCGACCACGGTGGCATCGGGGTCGGCGCAGGAGTGCCCGCACGTGCGGCCATCCTCCGCCAGGAGGAGGCCCCGCTCGCAGGCGAGGCACCTGCCCTCGAGGCAGTGCCGGCAGTGGGCAATCTCACAGGCCGGGATGCAGTCTGCCGGGTGGTGTTAG